GACCCAGGGTTTGGCCTGCCGCGGAAGAGCCCGCTGCCAGCAGCACCTGTATGCTTGGGGAGGGAAGCACGGCAAGACGAGTGGGGCTGAGGCCCCGCCAGGCTGCTTTGCATGGTAGCAAAGTCCAGTCGGGCTCAGCAGCAGTCACAGCTGCCGGCCCCACAGCCGCGCCGGCCTTGGTTGACTGGGCTGCTGCGAGAGGGACAGGGCAAAGATGCTACCGGGGAGTCAGCCAGGAGCAGCCGTGGCTCTGAAGCCAAAGGAGAAGCCGCGTGATGGTTACCCTGACAGCATCCCGATGAGTAACGAGAAGCAGATGAGCCACCAGCTGAGCTGAGCGGTGAAAATCATTAAAGAACGAGGAAAGAAATATCCGGAGGAGAAGAACAGATTTTGCTTGGCGGAGGCCATCTGGGCCCCTCCAGAGAGGGCGAGGGAGATGGCAGGGGGGGGCCCGGGCCATGCATTGCTTATCCCCCCAGCACCCCGCAGCCACCCGCGCTGGGGGGAAGCTGTGCTCTGTACTACCAAAAAAACAGCTCAGGTTCAGACACTGAGAAATAACCCAAGCAAGGGCCTCATCCTGCCCTGCAAGGTGCTGAACCTTTGGGGTGCAACGGGGGGCACCCCACGTCAGGGGCTCAGGGCTGGTGTCGCTGACCCCAGCACGGAGGGACCATGACCAGGGTCACCACGAGAGGCAGCCTGGCAGGAGCAACTGAAGCCACAAGCAGGGAAGAAGTGCCACCCCAAAGCACAGCACTGCTGCAGCCCTGGGGCAGAGTGCAAGGCAACAAGCAACCTTCAACCAAGGGTGCAGCAGGGAGGGGCATTGACTCTGGAGCCTACTGATGGTGGTGTTCCTGGTGCCTCACAGGAAAGCGGGCACAGTGCCACAAGTCAAAGCCTGCAGAGGAGCTCAGAGAGCTCAGAGCCCTGTCCCAAACAGTCTGTCCCCCCTACCCACAGCCCAGCCCTGTCCCCTCCACAACTCACCATCTGAATCAATGCTGTTCAAGGCAGTCGGCGGGATGATGGACACTTTGTACTGGCCCAGGGGGCACCTCTTGCCAAAGAGCTCCTTGCAGGCACTGTGAACCTGGGGACACAGGGACATGTGCATAAGCAAAGCTAGGGGACGCAGCACCAAAGCCCACAGCCTCAGTTTCCCCAGCAATGCACCCAGGAGGGGCAGTGCTGTCCGTGCCGTGGTGGGGGTGACAGGGACGGACACATCCTTACGATGGCCTTGCACCAGAGACACCGCCAGTCCTGCAGCCTCCGGACACTGCCACAGGTCCGGTCGCAGACGGCGCAGCGCGCACTGACGGGCAGGTTCCCCTCCAGCCACTGGTGGGGCATGGCCACCTGCGGAGAGGGGCAGTCGCCAATGGCACATCACCGCTGCTGCCCCTGCGCACTTGAGGGACAGTAACACGGGCCACCCCCTTCCCCAGGCACCATGGAAGGTGTAGGCAGGGGATGATGCCCCACAGCAGGGCAAGGCAGCCCTGGGACCCCTCCTATGCCCTCTTGTCCCTGCCTGCCTGGCCCCTTGCAGCTGCCAGTGCACGGGGCACGGCAGGGGTGTCCCCAGCAAACGTTTGGGGGTGGCACCACTTGGAGAGCAATAAGGGACCCTGATGCCAGGTGGCAGAGGAGGTGTCCCCAGGCCATGTCCCTGCAGAGCCAAGCCCAGAGGCCACACAGTGCATGGGACAGCTGGGTGCCAGGGTCCCCCCTGCTCCTGATTTGGGCACAGCAAGGCCAGTTCTGCTGGTGGCTCTGTCCTGCCGGGGTCCCCCGCTAGGACTCCCCTGCTTACCCCATCCTCATCCTCAATGATTTCGGTGCCGATGGAGGCCAGGGTTGTCCACTTGCAGTTGTTGGTGGCTCTGACGGCGCAGCGCTTGTGTGCCTTGAACTTGCAGACTGCGCAGGGGGGGAGCACGTGAGGAGCAGGGACGGTCCCCGCAGGATGCGCAGCCCTGGTCCCCAACCTCTCCATGGTTGGTGACACTGCCATTCCCGCAGCCAGTG